ACAAGAAGTGTCAAAAATTGATTAAATTGACTAAATTTAGTGAAGTTTCTGAAATTCTAATTGAATAAAGTGTTCACAATAACTTCTACTTTTACAAAAATTTTAAGTGATTTAAGAGAGTGTGGTTAAGAGTAAAATTGATAGTGTTTGAGAAAATTTTTGAGTATTTGTGAGAAAGTAAAAAATAATAAATAAAACACTTTCCACGGTTCCACCTACTTAAACTTTCCAGTTATTGATTAATAATTAATTGGCGAAAGGGTCAAATAAGTCCACGTACCGGTCATGTAAGCTCAATTCAGTCTTTGAACTAAAAAAAAACATTCAAATTTTCATTCTTTAAGGTTAAACAACCGATAAAAAGGTTCAATTTGCATCCCTAAACTATTAAAAAGTGTCAACTTGCAACAAATCAAAAATAAAAAACAGAAACAATTAAAACAAATTAAAATGACCGGTTGTTTGCACGTAAAAAATGAAATTTAAATCATTTTGTGTCGATTCGGGATGTGAATTGAACCCTTTTTAGTTCAGAAACTGAATTGTGCTTATACAATTGGGTAGATCCTATTTGATTCTCCTAATTAATTTAAACTAGAACCTCTTTTTAAAAACATGCACACAATAGAGACGGTTCGAATTGCAGTATATACTATCGTACTTCGTAGTAAGAATTACCTTGAAAAGCACGGAAAAGAACAGGCCCGATAAAGTCCCGGCCAAAGCTCCGGCCGAGAACCCGATAATCCATCTCCTTAGTTTCCTTTTGCTCTTGTTGTGATTTTTTACAGCTTCCGCCGTGCTTGACCGGGGAGTCGACCCTTGAGCCTTACCGGCGTGAGGAGCGCTCCCGTTCGGAATCAACGATAATGAGGTTTTGTTTTTCATTTCAGCAAAAATAAAGCGCTTTGGGGCTGTATTCTCACTCAAATCTTCTGATACTGATCGATAATCGACGTGACCCATCACCGGCACCGGACCTTTCAGTAAACTGTTGCCGGAAATGTTCAAGAAACGGAGATTCCGGAACGAATTCAAGGACTGGGGGACTTTCCCGGTGAACAGATTGTCGGAAAGGGAGAGCTTTTCGAGGTTGGGGAAGTTCTGCAAGAAATTGAGGTTCCCAGATAGCTTGTTTGACGAAAGGTCAAGGATCCGAAGGCGGGCTAAAGAAGAAAGCTTCAATGGGACCTCGCCGGAAAACTGGTTTCCTCGGAGATTCAAGATTTCCATTTTCCGGCAGTTGAGAATATGAGCGGGTATTTGGCCGGAGAGTACGTTGTCCGGAAGAGAGAGCTCTTTGAGCTCCGACAGCCTCGAAATCGCCGGCGAAAGGGTCCCACTCAGCCCCTCCGATCCGTAAACGATCCGGGTGACTCTCAGAACGTTCCCCGGCCGTCTTCCGCAAAAGATTCCGGCGGATTCGCAGGGATCCCGGAGACCCGCATTGTGCTGACCGCCGGCCAGTCCGTTGTGAAGAAGCAAGAGAGCGTCGCCGTCGGAAGAGATGAGGCTTGGGCTTCCATGAACAGAGAGGGTGAGGAGAGTGAAGCAGTAAGACAAAGAAAAGACGAATGAGAAGGCGGCCATGGAAGGGCGGGTGTTTCCGGGAGCTTTTGGCCGGCCTTTTGTGTTGCGAATAGCTGCCGGAAGTCTTTGCTGATATGGAGTTTATAGAACAGAGGGCGCGGTCAAGGACTTCAACCGTAGACTTGCAAGTCAACAAACCGTGTAGAATTTTCTCACCGGCCACTACCCATCAGGGGACCCTTAAACGGACGGGGACAACTTCAAAGTTACAACATCCTAGTACGGAGTAGTTGCAAACTTGCTATACCTCATACTCCTCATAGTGTGGGAGCTACCCAAACTTGGTAGAGACCAAAGTGTTAGTAGTAATTAAGGATGTTTTTCTTGGACCATAATTTACTGGTCTGATTTGATCTGTTTAAGTTTGATCTAGACTGATCTGGTCACTTCTGTTTAAGTTTGATCTGATCTGGTCTGTTTAAGTCTAGTTTGGTCTTGTTTGGTCTGAACTGGTCTGGTTTGGTAAATGTCTGGTCTATGTGTATTTTATAACTACAAAAGTCAAGTATGGTCTGATCTGGTCTGTTTAAGTCTGGTTTGGTTTGGTCTGGTCAAGGACTGAAAACAGTCCAAGTAAAAATATGCTAATGAAACTTAAAGCAAGTGTTGTCACGAACCTGAAAGAGAAGATAAATGTAAGTGTAAGTGTTAAATGTACGTGATCTTATCTTATTTGGGAGAAATAAAAAAATGAAATATAGTAATAATGGAAGTGTTTTCACTTAAATTGAAAAAATATCATCATTCTTTTTAAATTATTACTAAGTACCTAGAATTGCATGTTTTTAAATAGTACTCCCTACGTCCCTATTTAAAAGTTCCTCTTTGACTTGCATACAATTTAAGAAAATGACACTGTTTGGATGTTGTTTGACATTATTTAGCACTGTTTTGTTTATCAAATAAGGAAAGGAGACATTTTTAAGATGATAGACTGAAAAGGAAAGCAATATGTTTATTTAGGGATGAAGGAAGTATATACACTACTTAATACGGAGTATCGTCTAAATTTCTGCCCTTATGTTTAATTAATGGAATAGTTTGCATGCTAACAACTATTCTACGTATTGAAACATGCTAAAAAATTTCACATGGAAGGGCTTCAAATGGCCTTGGCCTGATGGTGAACCAAGTCATGCCAGCCTGACAAGTTCATTCCTCTATATATAGTTTAAATTAAAAGAGTCATTTAAATTTAAAGTTTTAGTTAAATAACTTGTATGAAGAGTGAATATGTATTTGTTTCAATGTTTTTTTGTGATATAAATCTCTTACAATGGATAGGGTTCGGAAAACTGCAATTTCTTGTTATATTTTTAATTTTAGAGCTTTATTTTTCTTTCATTAGACATTTTACCTTGGTTTTGGATTGTTTGTGTTAGTGGCAGTCTTGGGATGTATATGGCCGTTATTTACATTGAAGGTCTTGTATGTTCAGTGAAACGTTTCGCTTAGATTTGGATGAACTCTTACATGTCTGATCAGGGAAAAGGGGGATTTTTCGACTATTATGAGCTTGTAAGAACTTTATATTACCGTTTGAATGTTTGATTCGTGATTCACATTACTTTTTTGGAGGTGGTCGTCTTAGTGTCTGATTGTAAAGCTTATAGTGAGTCTAGGTGGAGTTTTTTGGAAGACAGATGGTGGAGTTTTAAGCTGTTGGTTGATTGTAATTGTGAACGATTGTTTGAATTAATATAGTTTGATGATTTCCTTCAAAAAAATCTTGTGCATTAAAATGTAACTCGCGTTACTACAAATATAATTTCAGGTAGCAACAAATGTAAATGTTTGAATTTGAGTGATGAGTATAGACAATAAAGAAATATAACTCATGTTTACGGAAAGTGTAACTTGATACGAGACGACATGTAACTTATCTAATACTACCTCTGTTCCCAAAACAACTTTCCCTTTTCTTTATTTGGGTGTCCCGGCCCAAAATTAACTTTCCATTTCCATGAAAAGTAACTTTTTCATTAAAAATATCAAAATTACTCTTACTTTTTACTTGATTGACATAAAGTAAAGATATTATTGGAAAGCCAACTACTCACTTTAACTTTCCACTGAAATGTGCTCAAATCAAAGTGAGAAGTTGTTTCCAAGACGGAGAGAGTATAAGATATACTCTCCCCCTCTCATTTAATTTGTCTTGTTTTCGTTTTTGTGTTGTCCTAAAATAAATGTCACATTTCCTTGCTTGGAAAGAAATATGTGTTCTACAAAATTTCACTTTATTATACTCAAATCTCAACTATAACTTTTACATTTTCAATCACTTTATAAATAATTGTGTCGAATCAAAGTAAGATACATAAAATGAAACGGAGATAGTAAAACTTTGTCTTCAGTGTAGACAATGAAAACTTAGAGTCCAATTTCCCCATTACTTTACCTAAATAGTGAGCTTATTTTATTCTTAATATAAGGGCCTTATTTCATGTCTGATCGAAGAGTAAAAACAATAAAAATTGTACGCATAAGAATATAACTCGTGTTCTTGAAATTTAATCTCTGGTAATCGAAAATATAACTTGCATTATCAAAAACGTAATCTTAGATAGTAACTAGTTTTGTACCCGGGCGTTGCCCCGGGTGCAACTTTCACATGAAATATTTAGTTTATAATTTTGTGCATATGTTAAATATATCTTTCGTATGAATTTTTTAAATTACATTGATAAAAGCATTGAAATACGTATAAATTCAAAATGATTTTATATAATATATAAGAATAAAGATATTGGGATCCCTAATACATTATAAAATTGAAAGACTATGCTTCTAAATTCTGGAGAAATAAAATGATAATTATAGTAAATATGGATTATAAACTAAATAACCACTAATATAATGTTAAGTGATAGAGTTGATAAAAGTTAATTGGAAAAGTTAGATTTGTTAGTAAGAGAACTAAGGACAATCAAAGTAGTATATAGTATACCTCTCATTATAAAAAATTTTATAAAAGAAAAATGAATAATTACACTTATTTAAACCCCTCAAATTTCTCATGATTCCTACTTGAGCCTTTGCTGCCCAATGTTTAGCGTAAATTATTTAAGGGAAATTACCCTAAATGAGACAAAAAACGTTTGTCAATTCCGAAATAGGATTATCATGTGTTTATTCCCAAAATAGGACTAATTATTGATATGTTTCAGCAATACCATACTTTAAACATGACATTATTTTCCAAACTTGACATCAATTACTCCTATTTTGGGGGCAAAAACATGGTAGTCCTATTTTGAATTTTTTAAATTTTTTTAATCCTAGTTTTGCACCCGGGCATTGCCCCGGGTGCAACTGCCATTTGAAATATTTAGTTTACAATTTTGTGCATATGTGAAATATATATTTCGTATGATTTTTTTAAGTCACATTGATAAAAGCATTGAATACGTATTAATTCAAAATAATATTATATAATATATAAGAATAAAGATGTTGGGATCCGTAAGACATTATAAAATTGAAAGACTGTGTTTCTAAATTCTGAAAAACCTCTCTATGGACAACATTAATGACATTGGAGGAAAATCCCCCATCTTTAGAACGAATCAAAATCTTCAATCCTTCTTTGCTCTTGACTCTTGATATGGCAACATATAATTGATCAAGTGTGAACACATTATTCTTGAGATATAGTCTGACCTGCATATTTACTAAGATTGGCTCTTGTTGATGCTCATCGCAAAGCATACCATAACCGAGAATTGCTTCATCTGAAAATTAAAAGGCAATGTTACGTCAGATGGAGATAACGACACTCTGGGAATGTGAACAGTGGCCCTCATATTTCTTCCAGTGATGATCTTTGCCTCTAGCACATTTTTTCTAAGCTTGGTGAGAATGATCAACCTGGTTCCATTACAAAATCCTGTTGGCTGGTCTATATTTCTCAAGAGCATAATGGGAGCACCAATCTTTAGATGCAATTGCAAATCGTGATCAGACAACCCCGAGATTGAGAGACTATCAAGAAATTCTAGTGTATACATGTCACTCTCACGACACAAACCGATATGTGAACTAATGATGCTATCTGAGATGAGTTACATGATTTGATCACCAGAGATAAAAGATAGCATGTAGTCATTTATTTGGAGAACCACGTAAAAAGGTTCAAGTATCGCTCTTTCCTTCAAGTAAGTTGGATTGCTGGGGCGTTCTTGCTTGTTACGATAAATGTTATTAACGATAGCTGATATGTAGTTATCTTCCGGCTTGATTACAAATTTATTCGGGATTTCCACCTCTGTTTACCGTTATACCAGTGTTCCTTCTACAATACTCTGGATACCCATATTTATTAATGGAGGTTGTGGGCCTGAAACACCTTGGGTAATGTTTAGAACACACCGTCTATCATGCAAGGTGATCTTTGTTGAAATCTCTGCAAGGACCGTGTATCATTAAACTTTTTTTTTTGTATCATGCAACTCTGCATCTTGGAAAGGATCGGGAGTTCAGCTGAGATGACCTTATCAATGTCATCAACGCCTCTCAACTTGCACGCAGAGCGTATAAACAGGACGATGTGGGCACGTAGTGTAAATAACTGCATAACCAATGAAGTAAATTAGTATGTAATGATATTTACATTTATTTAAAACCACGACGTTTGAGCTTGATCTTAATCATTGGAGAGAACTTAAGCGCTTGAAGTTCTCTAAATAGTTTTCAATCCTTGAGTTCTTCATAAAATTGTAAAAACAATAAAAATATAAAAATTGTGATAGTCTCATCATGTCTGATCGAAGAGTAAAAACAATAAAAATTGTACGCATAAGAATATAACTCGTGTTCTTGAAATTTAATCTCTGGTAATCGAAAATATAACTTGCATTATCAAAAACGTAATCTTAGATAGTAATAAATGTAACTTGATTACAAAAATGTAATCTCACTTAGTAATTTTGAAATAGTGAGCTTATTTTATTCTTAATATAAGGGCCTTATTTCATGTCTGATCGAAGAGTAAAAACAATAAAAATTGTACGCATAAGAATATAACTCGTGTTCTTGAAATTTAATCTCTGGTAATCGAAAATATAACTTGCATTATCCAAAACGTAATCTTAGATAGTAATAAATGTAACTTGATTACAAAAATGTAATCTCACGTAGTATTTTTGAAATGTAACTTTACTAGTATTTGTACATGTGCTGTGCACGGGATAAATGATTTTGATTATTGAATTTTATTATATATACATATGTGTGTGTGTATACGCCCACACTTATATAAGTATATGAGTTAATATAGCTAATGAAAAATCATGCATTTAACCAATTATAACATTAGTTAATTATGCATATTTCATTTAGAGTGTGTGTTTTTACTTACTATCCATACTAATTCTTGGTCTATATTTTTCAATGCAAAAGCTAAACCCTTTTAATATATAATTCTTTGTTTCATCCAAATGAGTTTTTCTACCCATATTTACCTTAACAAAAAAAGATATTGGTCAATGTCTATTTTAATCCATTAGATCTCATGCGTGCCTTAGTTTTTTTTATAAACCTAACTAAACAACTTTGTAATTTATTTAACAATGGATTTATTTAAGAAAAAATTCGAGTAATATTACTTCTTGGAAATTGGGGGACAAAAATGTAACTTGGTAACTTTTAGTAACTTTCTTAATTATGTTAAAAATTACTATGATGTAGTGACTATTATATAAACTTTGAACACAATTATTTTCACAAAAAAAGTTATTAAGTCACATTTTTCTCATGACTCTTTATTCAAATACTTAAACATATTAGCCCTTGTAGAATTAAGAGTACACCATATTAACCCGATGATGATATTTTTCTTTAAGAATAAAGGCTCAAAACTTATAGTTTTGTGACATTTAGAGTCCATTCAGACCATTTGCTACCCCTGATTTTCTGCTTATTAGGCTGACCGGTCAAAAATTTTATCGAACACGTAGTTTTTTACTTTGTGCGCTGAATGGAGTAATAATCAAAATAAGTAAGGTTGATGTTGCTTTTATCAATAAATTGATTGGAGTTACTGTACACTATTCTAACTATTTTTCTATCTTGTACTATTTTCTTAATCCTATCAATCAAATGTATTTCAAATCTAATTTTTTTACAAATCAGTAGATTCAACCAATTCAACCACAATTTCATAGCAGATTCAAACAATTTATGTATGTGTTACCAAATGGGCCATTAGATTTTAATGGAGGTGATCAACAATAGGCCGCATGACGATGATTGGTAACCAAAAGTGGTGGAGCTAGAAATATACTATTAGGGGGACTAGATCTCGTTTATAAAAGTATGACATTTTTGAATAGTAAAAATGACATCTTATAATTTGAGAACAAAATGACATTTTTATAAGATGAGAGAAGGAACGATTGCTATGGTTTTACATATGTAAATGCCTTTTTAATGACATTTGAGAGCAATTATGACATTTTAAAAAAATTTGAGGGAGTAGAAGAAATGAGAGGAGGAGGAGGAGAGGGAGAAAAAGGAAAAGAAGAAATTGGAGGAGAAAGTAATGGTGTAATTAATATGTAATTAGGTTTCCATATTTATTTAGTTTTCTAATGTACTCAAAACTCTTATTATTATATATATGACATCTAGGCTACCACATTGGGTACGTCTTTCCATTATTTTCACATGGTATCAGAGGCCTAGGTTTTTTAATTTATTTTTCGATGGCTTCTACTACTGTTTCCGCCGCCGATACTGTTCCCGCTCCCAGCACTGCCGCTACCACCACGCCGGCGTTTGAAGTGCCGGTCTTGAGCGAAGCTTCGCATGGCGGATCACTGACAGTGCCGCTGTAGTCTGACGTCCTTCACCACCACGTCTCGGGCTCGCCGCTAGAAAACTCTTGGGTCCCGCCAATACTTACGTGGACACTGACGCAGCCTATAGTCCGGCCACCGCCCCTGTTCAATCTCGCCTCCCAAGCCGAATCCAGCAGTGCCGCGGATGCACGAGCGCGATTTTGTGGTTCCACTCTCTCCAGCACTCCGGGTCTGCTGATGCCTTCTACGACCGAGCCTATAGGTCGGCGCCAACATGATAATTATTCTATTCCAGTTTCCTTCTCTGCTTCGGCGCAAGGCATGACCCTTGGATCAGCAATCAGTCAAATTGTTACCACAAAATTGTTGGCTGTCGTCGTCTAATACTGTCCAGATTCCATTATTTTCACAGAAAGAGCAAGAGGAGAAATACCTGGATTTCTGAAAGTGGTGGGATTTCTGATGAGGAAATGAAGATGGAGGTTGAGAGAGAATAGAAGGCAAACAAAGTAAAAGAGGATCAAACTTGGAGCACTTCTGACGTGGTATTAGTCTAATTAAACAGATCAAACCATATCAGACGAGACTTAAACAAATCATACAAGACCACACCAAACTTCCATAGTTATAAAATACACAGAGACCAAACATTTACCACACCAGACCAGCAAATTCCCGTCCAAGTAAAAAAAATCATATTTACCATTAAATATTTATTAGTTTGATACTATGCTTTTATGTGTTAGGAGTTTGACGATGAAACACGAAAATATTTAAATGTTATTTATTCGTTAACGGTTAAGTGGTAAAATAAAAGAGTTGCACTGATATGATACCATCAATTCTTATCTCAGTTTTTTCAAAAAAAAGCTAGAATCAAACTGATTTCTTCACATGGTTCCAAAATTTTCTTTCAAAGAATTGAACCGGTCTCATCCTTACTTCTTTTTTCATAAGATGAATAATAAGAAATCACTTTTTAACATTTTAAGTTATTATGTGTATTAGTTTTTACATAAAAATCTCCTTGTTCAAATTTTATTTACAGTAAAATGATAAAAAAAATGATAAGAAATCACTTTTTAATATTTTAAGTTGATTTCGTGTATTAGTTTTAATTTGTCGAGACTATCCTTGTGCTCACCTCCCGACCTGGTATTAGGATGTTTTTACTTGGACTGTAATTTGCTTGTCTGGTCTGATCTGGTCTGGTCTGAACTAGTCTGGTCTGGTCTGGTAAGGTCTGGTTTCTTTGTATTTTTATAACTATCCAAGTCTGATCTGGTCTGGTCTGGTCTGGACTGGTCTGGTCTGGTCTGGGACAAATTACCGTCCAAGTAAAAACATCCTTAGTCTAGAATTGGTCGGCTAGTTTGTGATCCCAGATAGCTAACTAGTCGATTCTGATCTGAATCCAGAATAGAGTGCATGTGAACTTGGGATGATTAGAATTGAAGACGAAAGAAAAAGTCATCTGAAATATTTGGATAAGAGAATAAATAATTGTAGAATTAATGTTCTAAAAATGAGTTAAAAGTCTACAATAATTATGTGTCTTACTTTGGTTTGTCGCAATTATTAATAAAGTGTTTGAAGAAGTAAAAAAGATATGATTGAGATTGAGTATATAAAGTGAAATGTTATACACAACATATTTCTTTGGAAAAATTGATAAGAATAATCGCACCTTTCATTGGTCTTCTCATAATAATCTCACTTTTACATAATCCTGAAATAATCTCGATCACCTTTGCACCACATCTTCTTTCGTTGGACCCTTTTTGAAAATCTTATATAAATAATCCTACCTTTGTAGGTCATCAATAGGTCAGGGTCCAATGAATGAAGATGAGGTGCAAAAGTGGGATTATTCTTGGATTACGTAAAGGTGGGATTATTATGAGCAGACCAGTGAAAGATGAGATTATTCTTGTCAATTTTTCCTATTTCTTTCCAAAAAAAAAGAAATGTGATACTTATTTTGGAACAACACAGAAAAGAAAATAGAACATGTAAAATGAGACGGAAGAAGTATATAATTATATCATAGATTGTTGCTAAAAATGCTATCTTTTTTTAATATTATAATGATAAAGTAATAAAATAATATATACAGTTTTGAGCTACTCTTCCTATTATGTTAATTATTTATGATGAAACTATGAATTTTAACATGAGATAGAGAGAGTCAAACCAATTCATCACATAATGTGGTCTCTTATGAAAAAAGACGACAATCACTTAACAAAACAACAACGAGATCTCAGATTACTAGTATGTACTTCTATCAAGTTCACCTTTTAAAATGCAATTTGGAATCTTAACTTTAAAAAAATTTGAGTATAAATTTCTCTTTTTTTGTAGTTTTATTTTTTATTTTTATTTTTTCCCTAGGAGGCGTCGAGGGGAGGGGGGTTTGGGAGCAGAGGTAAACTGGAACATTCTCACTCCATTGAGAATTGAACTCGGGACCTCCCATAAGGGAGAGTGAGTCGGCGACTTCTCTATTGCTACGATAACAATTTTTACGTAAGTTTTTCTTCTCGAAATTTAAATGAAATCATCGTAAGATCGTTTTGTACACCCTGGAGTGGAGGAGTGCTTTGGTTCCAAAGCTTCAAATCTCAAGATGCTGGTTGGAGCAGGTCAACGCACGGTTTTGATCACCAACGCACGGTTTTTTTCACCAATAATTGTTGGTGTACACAAATTTTGTACATATACTTAGCACACTCTCATGTCTATAGGGACAATTGTTGTCATTTTGTGTA